TTCTTCTATTCCTCCAGAGTGTGCTCTGTGTAGAGAGCATCTTTTCTTTTTCTTTCTCTTTTTTTTTTTTTTTTTTTGTCTCCGCTGGTGCCTCTCTTTTGTCAATGCAGTTGAGAGTCTGGCATGACATCTGCACAGTGGCTGTGACTGCTGCTATAGAGACTAGCCACTTTGTGGCAGCCATGGTAATTGCAGTGTCTACGGGGCTACCCATGTGGAAATGGTGTATTTGTTGTGCTCTTTACCTGATTGAAGCTCGGTCCAGCTTCCCCTGGGTCCCTACCTCACGACCCTGGCAGGGCCCCGGGGCAGTGGCACCAGCTTGCCTAGTGGTAGCTGGGTTTGGCTTCCCTGGCTCAGTGCCTCATTCTAAGATGTACTTGCAGAGTAATTGGAGGTAGGGGAGACGCAAAAGCAGACAGAAACAGGGTGGAAGAGGAGGAAGGTTTCTAAGCATGGGAAGAACTAGGGCTGTTTAGATGGAGGGGGGAAGTGAGCTAGAGCTTGCACTGGAGTATGTAGCTCTACCTCAGCTAATAACAAAGTGCCACCAAGCACTGCTGTCACTGGCCCTGTGCAGATGGCCCTTCAAGAAATCCACGTGGAGAAGGAAGAGGTGACAGAGGGGGATCCAGTCATTCCTGGGTCTTGGATCTGGAGACCCCCATTACTGCTAGACATAGTATCCCCTCAGTGTAGAATGCCCTCACCTCCCATCCAGCAAATTCCTAGTCACCCTACAAGGCTATGGTAGACTGCTAGTTGTGCCCCAATATGTATTCCATTTTTTATATAATTATAGAATGATGGCTGGTTGCATGGTCAGCCAGCCATGTTTCCCAGCCTCCACCCAACTAGGTGTGGTCACATGACTATGTCCTGGCTCACAGGATGTGAGCAGAGGTGATATGTATCATTTCCATGCCACGTCCTTGAAGGGAAGTAGCATGTTGCCACCCCTTCGTTTTCCCCTTTCCCCTCCCTGCTGGCCAGTGCTGCAGGACGTTGGGAGCTGGAGCTGCATCTGGACCACAGGAAGGGAACTGCGTGTGGGATGCACGAGGGCAGAGCTGGAAGGAGCCTGGGCCCCGCCAGACTGTTCAGCGGAGCTTCCATTTTAGCTGGGATAGCTACAAGAGCAAGCAGTAAAAACTTCTTTGTCCAAGCCACTGTTGTCTTGAGTCTCTGTCACTGGAATCAGGAGGATGAAGTGGGAGAGCCAGACTCCTTGGGTTCAACCCCACACTCCGCCACTTCTTAGCAGTGTGATCGTGGACACGTCACTTAACGTGTCTGTAACTCGGGCTCTTCAACTAGGAAATGTGAGTGTTAAAAATACCCACCTTTCCTGGGTCTTGGATCTGGAGACCCCCATTACTGCTAGACATAGTATCCCCTCAGTGTAGAATGCCCTCACCTCCCATCCAGCAAATTCCTAGTCACCCTACAAGGCTATGGTAGACTGCTAGTTGTGCCCCAATATGTATTCCATTTTTTATATAATTATAGAATGATGGCTGGTTGCATGGTCAGCCAGCCATGTTTCCCAGCCTCCACCCAACTAGGTGTGGTCACATGACTATGTCCTGGCTCACAGGATGTGAGCAGAGGTGACATGTATCATTTCCATGCCACGTCCTTGAAGGGAAGTAGCATGTATCCGCCCCTTCTTTTTCCCCTTTCCCCTCCCTGCTGGCCAGTGTGACATGACGTTGGGAGCTGGAGCCGCATCTGGACCACAGGAAGGGAACTGCGTGTGGGATGCACGAGGGCAGAGCTGGAAGGAGCCTGGGCCCCGCCAGACTGTTCAGCGGAGCTTCCATTTTAGCTGGGATAGCTACAAGAGCAAGCAGTAAAAACTTCTTTGTCCAAGCCACTGTTGTCTTGAGTCTCTGTCACTGGAATCAGGAGGATGAAGTGGGAGAGCCAGACTCCTTGGGTTCAACCCCATACTCCGCCACTTCTTAGCAGTGTGATCCTGGACACGTCACTTAACGTGGCTGTAACTCAGGCTCTTCAACTAGGAAATGTGAGTGTTAAAAATACCCACCTTTGCTGTTGCAAGAATCAAATTAGTTCATTCTAAGTGATGCATCTGGAACAATGCCTTGCACTGTGAGCACCTGCAAGTGTCAGCTGTTACAGCAGCTGGACTTGGAGTCTAAGAAATGCACGGTCCACCTCACACGCCCTCTCTACCTAAAATAGTCTTTAGCAGGGTCACGTCTGGCCCTCCTGTGTCCGCAGCACCCAGAGCTGCACTTGAGACCTTCAGGGAGCTGAGTTGCATGGAAACTAAGGCTCCTCACAGAAATAGAAGGGAGAGGTTTAGTAAATGTTTTGTCCACAGTGGACAAATCAAGTGAAGGATGCCTCTGGATCAAGGAGCGTTTTTATTTTTAATAAAAAAAATTTTTTTTTTTTTTGTCTTTTTTGTGACCAGCTGCACCGCGCTCAGTGGCCATCCCTATATAGGATCCGAACCCGAGTGCGCCACGGGATCGGCCCTAATAAAAAATTTTTAAGGTCGCCTCACTTCTTACATTAATGAGGGGAACGAGGATGTCCTTTTTATTACCGGCTTGTTGTATTAAATTGTGTGAAATAGTCTTCTGTGGGTTGATTTGCATAGACCTCATTCATATATTTTTTCCTGATAATAAAACAAAGGGAGAAAAAAGATCAGCAGATGTGTGTACTTCCTTAATATTCTACTTTCTGCTTTTTTTTTAAAAGCCCACCCCTTTTTATCAGTGTGTTATCCCCAAAATATAGAATTCATTTCAACCCTAAGGAGCTCAAAAAAAATAATCCACCTCAACTGCTCTTCAGAAGCGAGGGTCATCTTATAACCACACTGCAGTTAGGCAAGGGACTGGCACCAGCGACACTTGGGGGTATCTTAGAATGAAATCTCCATGCTGTGATCATAAAGATGCTTTGCTTACCCCATTGATCTGTCAGATCATCTCTTAATGCCATTGCTAGGCCCCCAACAGACCACCGGAGTTTGATAAATAAATACACGAATAAGTAAATAAATACTGTGTTTTCAGTTACAAGTTTGCCTATTTATAAGCAATTGAACTCTGAACTACTCCAGCCTGTAAGGAAGACACTCCAGGCTTGCTCTAGGCAGCCTGGGAGCCCTCTCTCTGCCTGGAGAGCCCTCCCTGCAGTGGCCACCGGCACCATCCTCCTCCCGGGTCTCAGCCACGATGCCTTCTCCAGGAAGCTTTCCCAACTCCCCAGGATGACTCAGTGCCCTTCCCGGGGGCTCCAGGTACCCTCTGGTTCCTCCATCAGTGCACCCCATGTGCAGAGCAGTGACCTTTGGCCCAGGGTCTGCCCACCTTGAGTTCCCCAGTCCCAGATGAGAACCATCCACAATGGGGTGTTTTCCCCTGCTGCCCCTTCCCCATCCTTGACCTCCACTGCCTGATCCCCCTCCGCCTGGCCCCCTGCCCGCCCTGCCCCCCGGCACTCACTGCAGCTGCTGCTCCTTGGCCAGGCTGAGGTTGCTGCTGTCCAGAGCCCTGCTCAGGTCACGCTGCCAGCGCTGCTGCTGCCGTTCAAACAGCAAGGTGGCGCGAGCACTCTGAATCCTCCGCTGGTCCCAGTCCATGTCTCGCTGGCGCTCTTCTTCCTGGAGCCTCTGGAGGGAGCAGAGATGACTCACTGCCACCTTTCCCCAGAGCCAAAGAGCCCAGGGGATCATCTAGGAGGCTGAGCCTCTCAATTTACAGATGGGGAAATTGAGGCTCAGAGAAGGGGCAGGTCGGTGGCCAACATCATGCAGGAAGTCGGAGGAGATCCCCATGTTGCCCTCATTCCATGTGGTCCAGCCGCTTCCCACCCTCTTACTCCTAAAGGGACAGCAGGGACTCAATCCCAGCAGTAATCCTAGCGCTCCCACATGCTAGGCTGAGCTCAGGGTCTTCCCTTGCCAGGTCCTCGGGAGGGTCCCCCGGCTTGGTCAGCCGTCAGCGAGCAGAGGCTACTGCTCCACCCAGCTGAACACTGGCATCATGTGGGGTGCCACAGGCCTGGGTCAGCTCCGACCCCAGGACAGAAAGGGAGGCTGGCGCTCAGCTTTGCCACCTCCAAGGCAAGTCACCTTGCTCCTGTGAACTTCAGTGTCCTCACCTGTAAAGTGAGGCTGCTTGCAGGTGCCCTGGGTCATCCCACAGGCTTCCTAGTCACAAATATATGGAATGACACAGACACAGGACTAAGAGCAAGGCAGACAGCCCAGCTATTCTCTGTATCATCTCAATCTTCCAAATTACCTCCATGCTCAGAAAAGGAAATGCGAAGAAAGGACATTTAAAGGAAAAGGCTCACAAGGGGTGGGGACCAATATTTCTGAGGGGTGACATTTAATGTGTGTTTTTTCTCTTTCTGATTTTCTGTCTTAATTTTCTACAAAGATTAAAAACTGGACAAAAATGTTGCATTCAGGACAATGGTCAACCTTCCTTGCCAGACAGTCCAGGCTGAACTGCAGGAGTGAAGGACAGAGCACGGCCCTGCATCCGATTCCAGCCTCAGTGCTCTGTCACCCTTGGGCTGCTCCCCCAGCCTCAGGCCCCGGCTGCCCCAGGCCTGACCTCCCCTGCCCCGCCTCCTGCACACTTGCACCCCTGGCCTGCAGGTGAGCAGGGAGCGAGCTGTCACACCTGCTCCTCATGCCCTGTCCATGCCACTGCTGTTGCCCCTCCTCCTCCCTGAACCCGCCAGCTTGGAAGCTCTGAGGCTCTGGCGACCACCTCCCCAGTGCAGCAGTCATCTATGGGTCGGGGGCAGTCCCGCCTGTTCCTTGCAGGTTTGAGAACCTCTTTAAATCTCTCTCCCACTGGATCTAAGTGATCTCAGCACACGCAGTCATGGCCCTTTCCTGTCCTTGGCTCCTCAGCTCTCCTGCCTCTTCTCCAAAGACCCAGTCCTGACTCTCTAGCTACTCACCTCCCTGGGCACAGCCTACCGGCAGTTCTTGACCTTGAGGGGCATCAGAATCCCCTGGGGGGCTTGTTAAACTACAGACTGCAGGCCTCACCCAGCTGATGCTGCTGGACAGGAGACCACACTTTGGGAACCTCTGCCCTCAGCTTGTCACCGCTCTGTCTCACCTCCAAGTGCCACCCCTCTGAACTGTCTCTCCGCTCTGTCTCTCCAGGACCCAGACTCCAACGATTATTCCACTCCTCCCCATGACCTGCAGTCTACTGACCACCCACTTTCCTCCCTTTCTCTCTCGCCTCTTTGTCCTCATCTCCCTCCTCCTTCTGCCCAGCATCCATGGCAGGCACTTCCTGGCCGTCACTCTTGGCCCTGAGCCTCTCACTTGGTCACACTTGCTGGGCAAGCCCTGACCGTGATGGATCCCAACTCTCCTCTGCCAGCTGAGCGTGGCCGGGGAACACACCTGACCGTGCTCTCTGGGGTCACTTCAAGGTCATGACCACTGCTGGGCCATCCCGCCCCCTTCCCCCAGGCCATTCCCTTTCCAGCTCTCCTAGATGACCATTTGGCACTTTGTTCTCTGCCCTCAAATCTCTGCTGTGACACCCCTGCCCCCAGTTTCTGACCTCACTTCCTGCTTCACCAGGAAATTGGGGCTCCAGAAGAGAAGCTCCACAGGCTCCCCCTCCCATGCTCCTTCCTGTGACTGTGCTCATGCCTCCCCCCGCCCCACCATGGCCTCGGAGCTTCGGGCGATGGGTCTGAGCTCCTACCCACGCCAAGTCCTCAATTAGTGTTCTATGTCTCTTGCTCTCCCACCACCCCAGGGACCCCTGCAGCGAGTCTGTCTTCTGCCATCAATTTCCCCCTCTCTTACTGCATCACTCCCGCTGAATGACAACTATGCTGTTATTTCTACAGTCAAAACAAACAAACAAAACTTTCCCTGGACCCCACGTGTCCAACCAGCTACCACCCCCCGTCTCTGCGCCCCTCACAGCAAACACCTTCAAGTGTTGGGCATTTGCCATCTCCCCTTCCTTCCTGCCTGTTCTCTCTTGGGCCCATTAGACAGGCTGTTGTCCCCACTCCTCTACCAAAGTTGCCCCAGCAGCCTGCAGTGACCACCATGGTGCTGGATCCAGCGTTCAGCCTGCTGCTGAACGTTTGGCCCAGGGGTCCCCCTTCCTTCCTTCCTTCCTTCCCTCCCTCCCACTTTCCTCCCGTTGGCCTCCAGGACACCTCCCAGTCTGCTCCTTCTCAGACCCCTTCGCTCTTCTCTTAGTTATTGGTGCTGGTGAGGGGGGTCCCAGGACTCAGTCCTCAGATTTCTTCTCCTGTCTACATTCACTCCCTTCATGACCTCATCCAGGGTTGCTACTTTAAATATTCCCTGTAGGTGACAACTCCAACATTTATGTCTCCAGCCCAGACTGTGTTCTGAATCCCAGGTAACATACCAAGCTGCCGACTGGACTTTACCTGGAGGTTGTGGCAGAAAATACTAGCAGTCCCCCAGTAGCCACTTTTCCTTCTTTCTTAATAAAAGAATTACCACCACTTCACCACTTGGAATAAACACTACATTTCCCAGCATTCTTTACCGTTAGGAGCAACCTAGTGACTAGCTGTGGTCTAATGAAATGTAGGTGAAAGTCTCCTTAATACGTTCTTTCCCATTCCTCCTTCCTGGTAGCTGGGATATACATGTGATGGCTGGCACTCAGGCAGCCATCTTGCACTATGAGGTGACAGCCAGGTGCCAAGGACAGTAGAATATCAGTCAATAACCATAGAGCTGCCATACAATCCCTAGGCTGTTTTCTCAAGGATTTAGTCCACATCCAAGAAATAAAGTTCTATTTTGTTTAAGATGCGTTATTTGTGGTTTTCTGCCACATTCAGCCAAACAATCCTAACAGAAACAAATGTTTAAGGGACATCGCACACTTAACATATCCAAAATTGTACTTGTGATTTCCACTCCCTGCCAACCTGCTCCTCCCACCATCTTCCCCATCTCTGTAAATGTCAATTTTGTCCTTCTAGTGGCTCAGGTCAAAAGGCCTGGAGTCATCCTGACCTCCTCTCTTTCATGTCACACCCGTCCTGTAGGCTCTCCCTTCAAAACAGATCCTGGATCTGACCACTTCTCAGCACCTCCACTGCCAACACTCTGATCCATGCCTGCATCATCTCTCGTCTCGACCACTGCAACAGCCTCTCCAGGGATCTCTCTCCTTCCCTCTCATTTCCCTGGAGTCTACCCCAACATAGTGGGGTCCTGTTAAACTTAAGTCAGATTCTGTCATTCCTCTGTTCAAAACCCTCCAGAGTTCCTCATGTGAGTCACAGAAAAACCCAGAGTCTTCCCAGTGGCCTGCTAGGACCTCCACCGTCCACCTCTGAGAGCTTGGCTCCTGCTCCTCCCCCTCACTCCGCACCCGCCAGCAGGCTCTCACTCCTGTTTGAACAGGACAAGCCTGGTCCTGCCTCAAGGCCTTGGCCCTTGCAGCTCACCCTGCCTGGCTGTCATTTCCCCAGATAGCTGCATGCCTCACTCCCTCCCCTTCTTGGGGTCTTTGCTCCAATGTTGCCTATCAGTCCCAAGACCACCCTGTTCCTGCCCAGCACTCTCAATCCCCTTTACCTGTCCTCCTCACTAAGCAGTCCTCATCCCGACACCACATTGTATGTATTTGGGATTATCAGGCTCTTGTGGTCTCCCCCCACTGAAAGGGAAACTCCTTGAGGGCAGCTCCCAGGGTGGGGTGTCACAGCCACTCTGATAGATGCCTGTGTGGAAGGCAGAGGGGGCACAGAGGCTGTGAGAGGGGCAGGGCAGGTACCAGCTTTTCCTGGACTTGCTGCTTCTGAACAAGGCGGATCTGCTCCAGCTGCTCCTGGGTCATGCCCTTCCAGCGGTCGGGGACCACGCGGTGGGGCCCGAAGGAACTGGCTGCCTGCTGTGGGTTCTCAGAGAGCAGGTCCCCACGCAGCAGGTTGGCGATCTCGGACAGGTTGTCCTCTTGTTCTTGTTTTCTCTCTTGCTTTTTCTTTTCTGCTGCCTCCATGGCCTAAGCAGGGGAAGACACTAAGGAAGATGCTCTGAGTGACTCCAGGGGGATTCTGAGGCACAGGCCAGTAACCCTCATGGGGGGGGTGGGGGGGTGGCTTGAGGGACGTATGCACTAAAAGCAGCAGGGGGTGGGTGGGGGTTAGACTTGTCAGGCGTGGATTTGGGGAGGGCCCTTGGACCCTTGGCTGGCTGAGTACCGCTGGGTAGGTGGGCTGAGCTGAGGGGATTGCTACCTGTTGGGCGTGGGCATAAGAGCTTCGAGTCTTGGAGCCCATTTGCCAAAGCAGGGAGCTGCCTCCCTGGGTTAGACTGCCATCCCCATTGGACTGGCCCCACCCCAGGGCAGGGCTCTGTGACCCTCCTATGGCCCTGGCAACCCCTGGACATCTGTGGGTTGCAAAAAACACGCAACAGAGTGAATCACAACAGTGGTGACTTCTAAAAGGTGGAAAATGCACTGTCACTGCAGTGGTCCTGATGGCTTCGGCTGCAGCCCCCGGTACAAATAAAGTCCTGGTCACATCACTGCTCAGATCTCTGGGGATAGGAGGTGGGGGCCTGGCTGTGTGACCTGCAGCTAGTCACCTCCCCTCTCTGGGCGCAGTCATTTCTCTGTCAAGTCAGGAGAGGGATTAGGAGACATTTACCAGTGTTAAACAGTTCTCCTTAGTAACAAACAGGCAGAGCAGTTTGCAAGGCAATGGCACACCCCAGGAACTCACGGTAGTGTCACATGGCACAGACTTTGCAGCTGGACAGGCCCAAATTCAAATCCTGGACTTGCCACTTAGTAATTGGGCATCCCTAAGAAAGTCAGCCCACCCCTCTGAGCCTGTTTCTTTATCAGTTAAATTGGGTTAATCATGCCTCTCTAGAAGGATTGCCAAACACAGCAACTAATAATAGCACCTAACGTTGCTAGGAATAAAGGTAATGGCTGGCATTTACTGAGTCCTGAGAATGTGCCAAACTGTTCTAACCTGTTACGTGTATCACAGAGTTTAGTCCCCACTCCCACCTTACGCGCGAGTGGGAGAGCCGTTCCTGCTGACCATTCAAGATCCCAGTGTTCCTTCTGGGCCTGTCCTGCCCACTTAGAGTGAGTGTTGCCACGTGGCTTAGTTCACCAATGAAATGTGAGCAGAGTGGTTGTGCCACTTCTGGGAGGACGCCAGGGTGGGACTGGCCATGTTCCTTGTCTCCTGTGCTGCCAGAATCTGCTAGCTGGCAGCTGCCGCATCCCAGGGCCTGGGCTCCACGGTGCAGATGACGAGGAGAGGCCCCAGAGCCAGCGTGCGACAGATGGGCAGCATGAGCCGAACCTCTCCTGTGTGTTGTAAGCCACGAGAGTTGGGGGTGTTTCTTACCCCAGCAGGAGTTAGCTTGTTCTCACTGACATGGGTGGGTGGTATCAGTATCCTCACTCCACACATGAGAAAACTGAGGCCTGTGAGTGGTTGCCCACGGCTGCAGGGAAGAGCCTGGCCTCGCACCCATGCAGTCGGGCTCCAGAGCCTGCACGCTACCCCTTGACACTTGTGCAGTGCCTCTCTGATGAAATGGGCACCCGTGCCGAGAACTGGAGGCCCTCAAGTATGTGTACTCCCTGCTGAATTGGACTGACCTGCTTGGAATTTTCTTCTGAGGCTAGTTATCTAGAACCTGGTATTAACATACCAGGCTAATAAACACAGCCTAATTCTAGTTAGGAACACAGCTGCAAAGGCCAAAGGACAGTTTTCCACATGGAGAGGCATTTGTGATGGCGCTGCCTTGAGGCATCACGTGAGGGCTGGGGGGTCTGAAAGTACGAGGCACATTGTAGATGCTCATTAAAAATTATATGGAGTGAATGAATAAATAAATCAATGAATGAGGCAACATGGTTTAGCAAAAACCACACCCAGTGTCCAGCAGGAAGGGGCCAATAAACAACTTTTGAACTAATAACTGAACAGGTGAACGGTGAATGAATGGATGACCTGCCAATAGAGGACTCATTGTCAAGAACCCCATTTTGCCATTAATTTGCTGCGTGGCCTCAAGCGAACGGCTGCCCTTCTTTGGGCTCCCTCTGTAAAATGAAGGGCAAGGACCAGGTGGCTTCTAAGACCCCTTGTGTCTTGCTGGTTGGTGACTCCGGGCTCTGGGTGTCTTGTTTTACCCTTGTTTTACTGCCTTGTTCCTCTCCCCGTTGTTGAAATCCAGCATTCTCTGGTCTCTGGTCCAACCTGTCCAGGACTTTTGATCACACGCCCCCATCAGTAGAATATTTTTGAGCTTCTGTCTCCAACATATGTAGTCCACATGTGGTACTACTATACCATAAATATAGTCTGTGCTTTACAAATTACACATGAACACAGGAATTTTCAATGATGGGATTAAAAATAAATATGAAGCCTAGTTCTAACATTTTCTTCCTGCTCTCCAACAGATCATCTTGAACACTCTTCTTTGGAGACCACAGTCCTAGTCATCCAGCTAATCTCACAAACAAACCCAGGACAAGACCCCATCCACCCAGGAAATATAACTACATCTGAAAAGAAAACCTGGGGGGCAGGGGTCTAATTTCCAAAAGGAATAGAGAACATAAAGCACCTTAAAGCTGAACTGAAAGCTGAAGGCGAGGGGAGAGGTTGTGAGGAGGGTGGACAGAATTTACAGAGGAGGAGGGAGCTGTCAGGAGACCTGCCAAGTCCGTGCCAATCTTCCCCCTCCCTCTCCTCGCGGTCATTGCTCCTGTTAAGGAGCACCTATGTGCCTGCTCACGTGAAGAGGAACTCTGAGAGGTGTGAAGGAGAACTGGTGCCAGCTCCAGGCATCAGAGCCATGCCAGGTGGTGTCAGTCTAGGTAGATGTGACTGTCCTCTTGTGACAGGAGAAGAAACCCAGGCTTGGAAAGGTGAGCTGACCTCCCCAGGAGGCATGACTAGTTTTGCAGGTTTCGCTCCCACATTCAGAGCTGAGGAACAGGGACTGGGTCTCATCCATCTCTGTAACTGGGCCGCCCCTGTCAGGGGCTCCATCAGGGTTGGTGGAGTGACTGAGGAAGTGAGCTGAGCTCAGGACCCTGGGGAGGCCGAGAGCTCTGGGAAGTGGCTGTGTTCACCCCTCCAGACGCCATGGCCACGCCCTGGCATATATACCTGGTTCTTGTTGAACTCTTTCACAGCTGCACAAACTGCCTTTCTGGTGGCGCTTTCCAGCTTCTGTAGGTGCTTGGCTGTTTCATCAAACTGCAGCCTTGTCTCTGTGTGGAAGTCCTCTGAAAGGAGGCAAGACTCAATCAGACCCAGTGCGCCCGCCAAGAGCGCCTTCCCAGATGTGCAGAGCACCCTGCAGCGTGGTTGTCACACCTTCACCTCTTACCATGTCCCCATCAATGGGGAGGGGAATAACGACAGGACCTGTCTCCGAAGGCTGCTGGGAAAGTTAGGTGACTTAATTCAGGTAAAGCTCTTAGATTGGGGCCTGGCACTCAAGGAGTGCTAGTGACCAGTGCTATGGATTGGTGGCATCTGCTATGGATGAGTGATGCCTGCTGTGGTCCTGGGACAGGTTAGTGGTGTGCCCCTTGCTATGCCCAGTCTATCAGGAGGCAGCTACATCCTTACAGTGGGCAGGGATGGTGGGAGCTCAGAAAAAGGGGCTGCAGAAACCAAACAGGACTCCACAGAGGAAGGGGTGTCACGTGACAGATATTGTGGAATGGCATTAAGACTTTGCCAGGCCAATGAGGAGGAGGTGGAGGAGTCTTCAAATGGAGGGTCCAAGCAGCAAAATGTAAAGGTTTGGAGTCAAACAGAGCAGGCTTACATCCCAGCCCAGGCATTTCTAACTCTGCCGACTTTGAACGATCACTCAACCTCTCTGAGCCTCTATGTCCTTACTCTTGAGGCAGAATAACACCTCTTTAAAAAAAAGAAAAAGTCATTGATGAGAAGGTTCTTCCCATGGTGTTTGTGCCCTGTGGGTCTCCTCATTATTGCCAAAAACAGAGACTGAACCCTTTAGCCTTCAATTTCTAGCTCTGCTCACCTTCAGCCTCATCTCTCCCCTTTCATTTGCTCTTCCCCTTTCATATGCATCATTCGACACATAGTGATCAGGGGCCTTACATGGGCCACCTGTTGCCTAGTGGCAAGAGAAGCATAAAGGGTTTTTCTGCCTTCCTGGAACCTACTGTTGAGGAACTGAGATAACAATTAACACATAAACCCCAGATAAAAATATTAATGAAAACTGAGATAGTGCTACAGAGGAACAGCATAGGAGCTAAGAGAGAGAAAGTTGGGAATGCCTGACTTAGATAGCTGGGGGGGGTAGGGAGTAAGAGATCACTTCTCTAGGAGGAAACGACATTTAAGTTGAGACCTAAAGGACAAAAAAATTTGGTCGAGTGCAGGTGCAAAGGTAGTGGGAAAGCATTCAGCAGGATCCAGAAGTGAGAGAGCCAGAATGGCTGGAACACAGTGAGTGGGGTGAGGGGTGTAAGTCGATGCTGGAGGGTGGGCAGAGGCCCCAGCATGCAGAGCCTGTGGCTATGGGGGGACTTTGCATTTGATTGCATGTGCAGTGGGAAATCATGAGAGGGTTTTAAGCTGGGATGGAGGGGGTGGGGGTGACACTGTTCAGCTTGACATTATTTAAAATCATCTCTCTGACCGCTATGTTGAGAACGGACCAGAGAGGCACAAGAAGGGAAGCAGAAGACAGTTGGAAATGTAGTGGCAGTGGCCCATCCAGATAAGGAAAGGTGGTGGCTCTTATCACAGTGGGGACAGCTGGGATGGGGAGAAGCGGACAGTTCAAACTATATGCAGGAGGGAGAAGGGTCAAGAGTTGAAGTTCGTCCAAAGACAAGGGGGGAGGGTTAAGCATGACCCCAGGTTTCTGTCTGAAGGGAAGGAAGAGCCATTGATGGAGGAGAAAGATGGAAGGAGCAGCAGGTACAAAGGACAAATTCGGGGTTGTTTCCCATATGTTGTGAGATGTCTGATGAGATGTCAAGGAGGCCGTTCAAGGACCAAGTCCAATGCTGAGACAAATGCTCTTGGTCAAAGATGAAATTTGGACCACCAGAGAGATGGCTNTATGCATCATTCGACACATAGTGATCAGGGGCCTTACATGGGCCACCTGTTGCCTAGTGGCAAGAGAAGCATAAAGGGTTTTTCTGCCTTCCTGGAACCTACTGTTGAGGAACTGAGATAACAATTAACACATAAACCCCAGATAAAAATATTAATGAAAACTGAGATAGTGCTACAGAGGAACAGCATAGGAGCTAAGAGAGAGAAAGTTGGGAATGCCTGACTTAGATAGCTGGGGGGGGTAGGGAGTAAGAGATCACTTCTCTAGGAGGAAACGACATTTAAGTTGAGACCTAAAGGACAAAAAAATTTGGTCGAGTGCAGGTGCAAAGGTAGTGGGAAAGCATTCAGCAGGATCCAGAAGTGAGAGAGCCAGAATGGCTGGAACACAGTGAGTGGGGTGAGGGGTGTAAGTCGATGCTGGAGGGTGGGCAGAGGCCCCAGCATGCAGAGCCTGTGGCTATGGGGGGACTTTGCATTTGATTGCATGTGCAGTGGGAAATCATGAGAGGGTTTTAAGCTGGGATGGAGGGGGTGGGGGTGACACTGTTCAGCTTGACATTATTTAAAATCATCTCTCTGACCGCTATGTTGAGAACGGACCAGAGAGGCACAAGAAGGGAAGCAGAAGACAGTTGGAAATGTAGTGGCAGTGGCCCATCCAGGTGAGAAAAGGTGGTGGCTTTTATCAGAGTGGGGACAGCAGGGATGGGGAGAAGCAGACAGTTCAAACTATATGCAGGAGGGAGAAGGGACAAGAGTTGAAGTTGGTCCAAAGACAAGGGAGAGGATTAAGGATGACCCCAGGTTTCTGGCTTAAGGGAAGGAAGAGCCATTGATGGAGGAGAAAGATGGAAGGAGGAGCAAGTACAAAGGGCAAATTCGGGGCTGTTTCCCATATGTTGTGAGATGTCTGATGAGATATCAAGGAGGTTGTTCAAGGACCAAGTCCAATGCTGAGACAAATGCTCTCGGTCGAAGATGGAAATGTGGAGCACCTGAGAGATGGCTGAGGTTTTTAAAGCTCTTCAAAAGGATTATGTCAACACGTATTTATCTAATGCCAGGAACTAAGGATAGAACAGTGAACAAAACAGACAAAAATCCTCAGCCTTCACTGAGCTTAGCATATGGCACTGGGAGAGGGACAACAAATACGTAAGCCATATAGTGTATCAGTGGTCAAGGCTATAGAGAAAAATAAAGCAAGGAAGGAGATAGGGAATGTGGGGGTGGGGGTGGGAACTGGGTTTAAAATGGAGGGTCAGAGTAGATGCCCCTGATAAGATGACATTTAAGCAAAGACCTAAAGGAGGAGAGGGGTAAGCCATGCAGATATTTGGGGAAAGATGTTTCTAAACAGCAGGAACAGTAGGTGCAA